CCCCCCCCCCCCCCCCCCCCCCCCCCCCCCCCGTGGCTACGCCACTGCAGGTCAAACAGTTAAAGTTTATGTAAACTTGTATGAAAAGTCAAAGAAATAACTCTCATGATCTATTTGACACCAAGTTTGTGTTAACTTTCCGGTAACGCCCTAAAAAAATTATCCAGACAATATGTTTATTTTGTAACATTTTATGTTCGTCTGTCGGTCTTCTATGGTGTTATGTTTACTTTTAGGTACCTTCAATGGTACTATGTTTAATTAACCTGTTCATTTTGTTTAATTAAACTAATAACGCACATATAGTTGCCAATATGGCACTAACAAGTTTGAGGTCGGCAATTTCGTCTTTAAAAATCTTGGTACTCGGGTTACCGTACACACAATTGTCCTGGAAATAACAGTACCAAAGTACAGAAAGTCGTACGCAAGAGCTCCCCAGCAAGTATCGCTGACGCCATTAGGCCTATGATTCCAAAAATTTTCACTGTGTCACACAGTGAAATAACTAAAAAGCGTCGTTGTATTGTGGACACATAAAGCATTCAGGTCGCGTTCTTGCACACTTTCTGCAGGTCGACTGGATATCCTTGAACCACTGCCCCTGCTTTGCATAACAAGTGCACATGAATGAACGATTCGACTTTTATTCAAAGAAATTTCTATGTACAGTCACAGACTCTATTCAGTAAAGTCCCCGTCAAAACGAAAGTAAACAATCAACGTGCATAACGCACGGCTACACCATCGTACAGTGTGGCAGGGACACCAACAAGTAAACAACAATTAAACATTTTAAAAAAAAAATGGATAAATATTCTGATTGAATTTCGTTAAAAGATACTTTTTGGTGAGGTATCACATATTTTTATCACATAAAGAGGATGACCAACAACTTCACGCCGTCACTGAACTAGACACACATGTACATGTACATGGTGTTCAAGTACATGTACATGCAAGTGCATGTACATGTACAGTCATGTTCAGTTTTTTTATTAATCGAAATTAGGGGTGGGTGGGTGGGTCAAAATAATTTGGAAAAAAAGTCGAAATTTTAAAACATTGACCATTCTGAATGGCCCCTTACATGTACAAGTTACCACCCACTGTTGCCATGAGAGTGTATGATGAGACCCCATTTGGCTGCTCATTTTAAAGTACCCCATTATTCCTCAAAAATTAAAAATCCGTTCAGAAAAATTAAAAATACATATCTGGCATTCTTGCTACCACCTCGCAACTTGTGGGTCTACATGTACAAGTCCACATTCTATGACAAAAATTAATTCAAACATTTTCTAGCTCCCATTTTTTAAAATCAAGTACACAAGTCTTGTTAGAAGTTAAGTCCTAAATTTATTTAGGAAAAAAGGCAATGTACAATTAAATTGCATCTTTAAATATCCGTTAGAATCATAGCTGAACCAAGGGGGTGAATGTGAGTTTAGGATCCGAGTTCCTATAACAATGAACCTCTACCCTTAACTTTTTACTTTTGTCACGATTGGTGTAGACAACATGTCAAAGCCCATGTTTTCTTAAGTGTAACTACTTTTTGCTCAAGTAAGGTGTCATGTATCAATTTGTCAACACTGCCACTGGTCGAACTTTTGGTCTGTATTCTTTGTGAATAGAAAGGTATTTTTCAACTATAATAACGTGTCTTGTTTTTTTAATTTCGACTTTTGTTATTCATTATCAGCGGTCTCGGTCTCGGTCTCGGTCTCGGACCATATTGGTCTCTGGTCTCGGTCCGCCTTGAAGGGGCTGGTCTCGGTCTCGGTCTCGGTCTCGATCTTCAGGTCTCGGTCTTGGTCTCGTCTCGGACTATCCAAAGGTCTCGACTACAACACTGCGACAAGCCCTCACAAACCCCACAACACAGAAATCCAATTGTACAAATAGTTGGTTACTGTGGTAGCTGCTGCAATATCAGATTCAACCTACAGTTAACCCTAGCAAGGTCAGACTTTGGCCCAAGTGAGCAGGAGTTTCTGCTGTACCGTCCCACTCAAGCCACTCTTTTCAAGTTGTTCTTGCAAGCCCTTGGACAACATGGAATATACAATGATATTACATTGGTCAAATCCTAAGATTGACTTTACATCTCCTCAATTCAAATTTCTAATCTTACAAATAAAAAAAATTATTTGTAAGATTTTTTTTTTATTTTCACTTTTCTTGCAGTGGAGCCAAATTCCCTAAAAGAAGTTGTTCATTTGTTGCTGTTCCACTATTAATTTCTTATGATCTATTCTTACTCCCCTATTTTACATTACAACATACAGCACAATGATAAATAGCATTAGGGAACATTTGTTTGTTTGTTTTTTTAATGCAATTACTTGACTGTTGCCTGACATCAACAATTCTACAGATAGTTACAAAAAAGAAATATGGACCCATACTCACCTTACTAACACTTTGTTCCAGCTCTTGTGGTATAGCAAATGGTGCAAGTGTTGACTGCCCCAAAGGCCATGATCCCGTCTGTAATAGTCAAATACATAGGACAATCATCAGACACACACAACATGTCTGGACAATCGTAAGCTGTCATGTGCTAGGTGTCAATGTCTTGTACAAACTTAAAATGTACTAAAACTTCAAACTTGACATACCCTACCTGTTTTCATTGGAACAAATATGATAAGTTTCTGCTCAAGGTTACAGAAAAGCTTATCAAGTTAAAATGTCACATTTACTCAAACTTTCTAAAAGGCACTTGTGACATCTGTCGGGATTCTGTCCCAAATGTAATTAAGGTTATGCTCTGTTGGACTGAACTGAATACAAACTTAGTACCACAGGAAGACACAATAAGCATATTTAAATGCTGATCTAACTGGTAGCTGTCATTCAAAGTAAATTAATCCTAAGTGGTTATCAACTAAAAAGAAATAAACCCGTAACAAAAGAAATGAACACATAACTTTGGGATGAGTAGTAACAAGGTTTTCTAAAGTCTGAAGAAAAACAATGTGAAAAAGGACAGTTGCCTTGTTAAAGAATTATTTCCCAAGGGAGCTGTCCAACACAGTCTGTACCCTGCGATATCAGCGAGCGTGGCTGCAGTGAACTGCCTTGTTTACTGCTAGGCTTACAATGTTAACCATGACAACTGAGAAAGGCTCCAGACCATGTGAAGCTAAGTGGGCAAACTTGACGAAGTGAAGGCTTTTACAGCGCGTGGTTTTGGGCCGAGGGGAAAGTTCTACGTGACCACGGAAACCGAGATAAACCACTTCAAGTGGAACTGGCTAAACTTAAAACGGTGTCTGAACGCTTGGTACGTTTGTAGTTTACAACCGGCCTCCCGTGGTGGCGACTGTTAATACTCCTATTGATCATGGAGGTTCAGTACCCTAGGCAAAGTTACAAATGTATGTTCAGCTAATCAACAGAACTTATCTGACAGGATTTTGAATTCCCATTTTTAAAAGTATTGATCTGATACCCAACCCAAATTACATTTACAAAAAAACAATTCTTTAAAATGGCCATTGTTCTTCTCAATGTTTTGGATCAGCCTCTTTTTTTCCCGTCTCCTTGATCATTGTAATTTACTCACACCTGGTATCATGGTCCCTCAAGACTAGCTGATTTGAATACCCTATGGGTGAACATTGTTCAGAAATATCGACCAAATACTTGGTCCTTTCCTGAGCTATTAATACTTGCATGAATTCCAGTACAAAGCAAATTTATTAAGTAGCTGTGAACACTAATTGGTCACCTCGGGAAATGTGAATCGATCTTAAGAAAAATACAAAACTCAGCCAGCACAAGACTGGTTAAAAATTACAATTAAAATGAACTTACTGTCAGGACGTATATAGAAAAGTTGACACTGAGATCCACTTGCTTGTCCTGACAGAATGTGTTGAAATTGCCATTAAGTCCTTCACTAACTCCAATGTCTGTGAACATTCTGTGAAGCTTGTTGGTGAACTCGTAGCCAAAAGCTTGCTGAGAGGAAAACAAGGTAATAGTGACAGTCAGAGCATACTGAGCATGTTATGAAGTTATCACCTCTCATTCTTCTTCCAATCATTTGATTTTAATAGAGATAATCATTTCTCACCTTCTACCAAGTTGTACAATCCAACATGGAAAGCCTTAAATTACATTTTCTTCAAAAAGTTTAAATGACTTAGTTATTGTTTTACTGTCCTTGAAATAAGATGGATCCTACTTTGAGTATGCCTGTTTTAGACTGGCATTCTATTCCTAAAACTTGAATTGGGTACATGAAAATTTGACATACGAAAAAATGTAGCATGACTGAATGGGCTAAAATGACTAAAATGTTGAAAGATCACAATGTTGTACTTGTTCCGAACAACTCTAGAATGCCGTGGTTTTAGACCTCATTCTAGTTATGAGCAAGACAATGGCCGTGCATCTTCTATTCGCAAGAAAGTAGCAGGCAAGTTTCTGCGTTTTTTCTTTTTCCTCCATTCAGCAATAATTTACATTTTTCGTCATCACCTTTCATGTTGCTGGCCACTCTCTCGCTACTTTACAAAATAGGAATATAAAAGTGACAAACAAAAGTTCAGGAACGGCAAGAAGAAACAAAAAACATAAACAAAACCATGCAATACAAACTGTTTTTAAAGCTAAGCCCCGGCTTAAGTGATTCAAATTCCTCTACTCTGATCACTAGTAAGAATGTTAGCCACTCCTGTATGTCAAATTAGGTTTTGCAAAACCTAATTTGATTTACATCACCCAACGCAAAATTCCATCTTATGAACACTCCTAATTGACACTAAATCAGTCGCGCAACCAGGGTATTTTGTTTTCCCGTTGTAATATAAACTTTTCATCCTGTCAGAAGTGTTTCCAGACCTCTGTGAATGGGAGTGTGACAACAAATTTACTGTCACCGCATCCGTGCCAATACACAGGATATATTTTTGGTCGCCTGGCCTGTCAAATGGAAAAGCAGGGTGTGGGGCTAGACACCATCTTCCTATAGGGCACACTGTTTGACGAAACATACCACTCTTCATCCCAGAACATTTTCCGACTGACACACGTTTTTGCACACCCACACAACCCCCATGTCTAGCAATGCCCATGTGTCCAGTTCCCAAATTTGCATTTATAATTCATTTTTATCGTCCTGATTTTTCATCTATCAGCGTCCCAATTTTGCTTTTAATATATCTAGCCTGTTGCACTCTGCCACTGTGCCCCCCAGTTACATGCCACTAATCCTTCTGGAAGATCACAAGCATTGTGCTTTATCAGACAGCAAGTGGCCAAGTTGTTGAGCAAGGTTTCAGTGTGATCTTCAAACAATGTTATCATACCTTCAATTTGTTGATCATAGATTCTTCAGTATCCATGGATGTTGACAAGCCGTGAATCAATCGCTTGGCTAACATACGTGCATAAAACTGTCACAAAATCAAAAAGGCGATTGTCAATTCCTTAAATTTAACAGTTGCGGAAAAGACTTTGCTTTTGTACAAATATTTGTATATAGCTTTTTGAACTTTTGAACCTTATTGCCATATCCCAGGACACAAAACACTCTAAATTCACATTTTTGTCTTAAATTGTTTAGTTAAGTCCTCGCTAATTATTGGTCGATCCATGGCAACAAGCCGTGCTACATATAACCAGGTAGCACGGCCACGGTCCATACCGCACTCCGCGTACTGCGCTTTTATAAGATGCGAGCGCCATTCCGTACAACACGCACGTGCAATAGGATAACCGTTGAAAAGTTTGTGTACAGCGTCTGTGTTCCATCTTTACCGTGCCTCAAGTTTGCGCTCGTGAAACACGGAAATGTAGTGCGTCTGTGTCCCACATACTTCGGCCTCGTGGTATGTGGAACACGGACGCACTACATTATTCCGTGTTCCACTCGCACTCGCGGGATAATTAATAATGTCATGACTTCATCATGACATCATCAAATGTATGATTACTTAAAGTACATATAGGGGAAGGTTTAATTGTCATGTGGTGAGAAATCAATGGTTACCAATGTGTCAAACTCTGAAAGTGACATCACAACGACATCATCAGGTGATTTTGGTATGAATTTTTTGGCCAACTGTTACAGAGCACCTTAAAATTTGCCCCTGGGCTGAACAATCTTTCGTATCCAATTGTATATAAGTTACCATACTGCACTGTCTGATTGACATTGTTGATTTGAACTCTCTTGAAATATACATGAATTCAGATGTGAGCCTGATAGCTTAATAGTACAAGCACTTGCTGTCTGTTGCTATCATGCCATTGTATGTATATCTTAGAAATCTTCATGACCAACTTACCCGTTGGAAGACATCCTTGTCATCAATATATCTAAAGACTAAAATGGATTGTTGTAACTTGTCATCAATTTCAGATTCACTGACTCCCTTCGCACTCTTCTTCAGTAATGTATCACAGTATTTGGCTAACTAAATAAAGGAAAAAGCAAAGGCAAAGGCAAGGACAATATGCTATACTTCGAAATATAATGGAATTACCTCTTGTATGACAGAAAACATTTGATTATTAACTTAAATGTACATTGTACGGGCTCTTTGTGCAATTGTTTTTTTTTTCACACCATATCAGGTCTTGTTGCCAAACTAATAAGTTTAAAAATTAGGGACGGGGTAAAATGTCATGATTCCTAGTACTTTTTGAAAAAAAAGATTTAGATTTGTAAAAAAAAAATCATTTTTAAATATATATCTGTAATTTATTTGGTAAGATAATGCTTAACTCACAGAAAGGATGACATATTTTTTTTGGACAAGGAAGTAATGTAGTAGTCATACCAGTTCAGGTGATTTGCAAGGCTGTCTTGGGTGAGGTCTGTGGTTGACTATGGCAGCACATGCCTACAACAGAAAAAATAAGCTCATAATCACTTTATGAAATCCACCTGAATTTCACATGGATTTACGTAATGGTAAAAATCATTTGAGTAATAGAAAAATTGAACAATTTTTTTTAAATTATGTCTCAAGCAAATTTTCATCAAATACAACAATTAAACAACATGTATTTAATTAATTACTGAAGGAATAAGCACAGGCAGATATTTACTCTCCTCAATTCTATGTTAGAGCGACACTTTGTGCTTAACGTTTCTATATGAGGGTGATATAATCCATTAGGGTGAGAATTTGGTGTCACCAAATTGTTTTAACTACCATTTGGAGAAGGAAATTTGCTGTCGCAATAGTTGGGAAGACAGACCCTCTGATATGCAGTTTTGTGGGGGTACCGGTAGGATAAGGTCAAATTTAATTTAGGGGTCATTTATGCACAAGTCTATGGAAGTGTCGCCCTTTTATAGTATTCAGAAGAATTATTATTGCTGCCAGTGTTACACCCAACCTCTGAAGTCTGTGTAATATGAACATTGGAAGATTTAGGACTGTTTAGGGTTAATGACAGCCGCTAAATACACAACTTCTCCTGGAAATGTGCTAAACCACCATAGAATTATTTTCATAGAAAAACTGTCCACACACAAGTTTTCTGTATCTTTGCAGTTCTACAGAATTATAAATTTAAAGGCGAACACTTTAAACTAGTCCAAATGCCACAAATGAAACATGTATATCATTCGGAGCTCTGCTGTTACTTGCAACTGAAACATTTATAAATTTGTACACACACAAAATTAATATGTCTGAGTTCATCCGACATCCTGGTTTTTTTTAAGCTGATTTCTACTACAGCAAAAAAGTTTGATGAATAATTTCTTTTTTAAATCTTTGTAGTAGCTTACTTCTGTATGATTATAACTTTAATTCTGCACACAGATGGATTGTTGCAAATGTATGTCTGACACCGTATAACTCCCGAATGACAGAATATAGCGTGTAATGGGTTAAACATTACCTTATCCAAGGCCATGGAGAAGACTTTATCCTTGCCTAATGTCTCACATATCATCTTTGTATACTTGCTGTGTAAGGCCAAGATTGCATCCACAAATAGGGCATGGATCTATCACAATAAAAAGTCACAAACAGGACAGTACAAAGTATAAATGAAACTGGTTCACATAATAATTGAATGATGGAAACTCCCACATTCATACGTCCTTATTGAAGGTTCCTCGTGAATCCCACAAATTCAACCGCTGAGCTGGGAACAATTTTGGGTATGTTCTAGGGTACCGGTATGTTCATGGTAAGCTGTTCTATGCATGTACCGAGTTTCATCATTTTTTGTCACTCGATAGCCGAGATCTTAGGGGGGCAGAATCCCCCCCCCACCCCCCCCGGCTGAGAGTTATTGTTACTGGAATGACATCAGTATTGAGATATAAACGGTTCTACTGGATTCAACCAAATTATTACTTTAGTAAGTCTCTTCTTATCAATGAAATATTGTATACATTTGTTTCTTTGATATTTGAAAGAATGCATGAAGCTGATTCTGACCATCACAAAAATATAAACGACTTTTTTACTTACATTTTCACCCTGTAGACTTGAAACAGCCTGCAACCCTGCACACAATATTGATTTTAAACAGAAAATACATGTTTGAGCATTTCTTTGGACAGCCATCAAAAGTAAGGCCTTTACAGTAAAGGTTATTGTGATTACATGCACAGACTATACAATTTGTCGTCAAAGGGTTAATCAATTAATTGGCAATAAAGCTGAAATACATGAACCAAAGTCCTGTAACCTAACCACAACTCCAACTGGTTTGTAAATGTGACGTCAACTTACATGTGAACCATTTCAACTTAAACCAGGCCTGGCGTACATGGAGTAGCACTACTGGAGCAGAGTTCGACCTTAACTTTTTTGTTCACTAGACAGCCAGGCTACTGAAACAGACTCTTAACAAGCCCGCAGGCATGTTCATTAGCCTGCATGTTTTTTCCTTTTATATTGTCTCATAAACAACTATGTGGCAATGTGCATACATGTAAAATGTGTATAGGGCCTGAAAGTTGACTTCTGGTGGGGCTTCAGGGAATTAACTCGATAAATTAACTCTTGGCCGGGACTTATTTATGTCGCATCTGCGACTTATTCTCTTGGGACTTATTAATTCGCGACAGCGACTTACTTATGTATTGAGTTAAGCCGTGAGTTAATATGTCCTTATTCATCACACCTTGAGAAAAATACACCCCTGTAATATTGGACTTGCCCCTTGAAAGAGAGAGACACACGTTATGAAAGAGAGGCACCTTAACCATGAAAGAGAAATGCACCGTCCTCCGTGAAAGAGCAACGCACTGCTGTGAAAAAGCAATGCACCACCGTGAAAGAGAAACATACAGCTGTGAAAGAGAAAGACATACCTGGCCCCAACAGGCTTCCGCAGGAACTGGATACAAAATACACAGAAACACCCTCCCCTGTACAAAGTTCAAGTAAACATTGACAACTCTTCTGCCAGCATTCATCATTGTGAAATGGAACCGAACTTTGTAGCACTCATGTAGCATCGAATAGGGCAAGACGAGGGGGTTGGGGTTCTCTGAAATATTGTTAAAATGCTGCAAAAGAGTGAAGCTTATCAAAACTACTAATTTCTAGTATAAGTACAATCTCTATAATTTTTATGTGAATAACTTGTGCGGCATACCTGTTTGTTTGATGTGTTCTTGGAGTTCATTGACCATGATGTGAAGTCCATTTACAACGGGTTTGAGCAACTTGTACATCCTAGAAAGGTCTTGTAGATAAATAAGAGCATAAAGAGTCAGGACATTTCACACACAAAAAAGAAGCAAAAAGTGTATTAAAAGGTATAAATGCATTTACGAATGCACACTATTAGATTTTGATTAATTCCAAAGATTAGTACATTCTTGCAACAGCAATTGCTAACACATCAAAATCATACTACAGCAATTCTCCTATTTGGGCTCAGTCAACCAGAATATGATAGGCTTAAGTTGATCGATTGGCTTAATTGGAGGGATGGTTAAAAGGATGGTCATAGAAAGGAAATCAGCAATAACGCTAGTTGACATTACCAATACTTGTAATGATCTAACCATTAAGTTGGGGAAGGTTTTATGACATTCTGACACATTTATAGTTGGGTATGAGGGGCTACTCAGAGTAGCAAATACTTACTAATAATTCTGAACCACTACAAACTTGTATTTCGGGTATTCAAAGTAAAGCCTTAATGCTGTTTTTTCCAACAAATCTGATGGATGATGCTCAGAGTCAGTTTGGAAAATTGGAAAATAAACAACATTAAGATTTTAAGATTTTACATGAAATGTAAAAAAAATACATGTATAAAATTATCTCTAATATTCTCAGGCAATTTACCTGTGGGAGAACGGTCAAACAAACGTACATAAATTACCAAATATGGCAATAATGCTGTGCTTTCCTTGTTACCTCCACATCCAGTTTTTCTTAAGAACATTGTTGGGTTTTTTCAAACATCTGAGTGCTTTCAAACATTTTTAAACAACTGGCAGAATCAATGTGTTTACAATACAGACTAAAAATTTACCAAAATGTCATTTAACATTTCCCAACTTCTTAGAAGGACCCATATGTAACATACATGTACATGTGTTTAACATCTTGTTGCCTGCATACCTGCTAGTACTTCATTGCGCACCATGTTTTTACATTCACCATGTAGGAAGACCATGTGATCAGCAACCATCCTCATTTGACATTCATGCATCACTTTGTTGTAAGAGCTGGGATGTAAAAACTTCCGACTTCTAAAGTTTTCCTCCTGTAGTCTTTGGAGCACCTTGTGTCATGAAAAGGAATTTATTTCTAGGTATCAAATAACTGTCTATGATTCAATTAAAAAGAAAAATATCAACACAAGTATTTAAATGCATACATGTATATCATCCAATCAATTTGAGCGCACTTTGGCACCCATTGCAGCTCAACAGAAACATCGGCATCAGTGTTGGTCTGAAATAGTTTCACATTTTTTATTAAAGATGCATTATTCAGAAACATTTCATCATTTCAACATTGGATATGTGACAATGAGGGATAATGACGTCAACAGTATTTCACATGCAAATTAACACTTCCTGCTATGCACTCCATCAATAATCACATGACTGTCATTGGGGTACCTAAAATTGGGTGCATTCCTATTACATGGAGATGAGTTTGTGCATATTCAGTTTAAAAATGGCTCTTAGTGGCACGCAGCTTCAAATAGACACAGACTATGTTCAAGGATCGTTCTCAACAATGGGGGCAGGCGCGGTTCTACGGGGGGGCTAGGGGGGCTGTAGCCCCCAAAAATTTTGTCTAGCCCCCCAAAAATAAATTCCTTAAAAACAAAAAATTGCATTAGCAAAAAGAAGGATTGTGATGTACATGCGAACGGTCTCCTCCTAAAGAAATAGTCGTGACAAGGGTGCATTAGTTAATATAGTGTGAATGATTTTAGGATTTTATTGGCGCTCCCCATTGAAAATATGGCATGTGTCTGGAAAAAATAACCGGTCTACATTTCAGCACGCCTCCCTGAAAAATTCTGGATCCACCGTGCTAGCCCCCCCAAAATATTGGTTCTAGAACCGCGCCTGAATGGGGGTATACATACACCATACATTGTGTTCATGTATCCCCCACTCTTTAACCAGGAAGAATGGCTATTGGATCATGCTCCCCCTCTTCCCCCCCCCTCCCCTCCACCCCCAACACACGTTTTTGGTGAGAAACAAAAAGGTGGATTTTAAGGTACTTCCCAAACGTCCCAATAACCAAAAATGTATTCAATAGCACTGAAAAATAGAGGGGAAATCCACAAAAGATTGAAATGCTTAAAAGACAAACAAATATTTAATCAACAGCTCAAAGTGAAATGAGTATGTACTTGCCAACCTTTTCCATGTATTGTGAACAGTTGTAATTCTGCAGCAGATTGGCTGATTCTTTCCTGTAGTATTCCCCAGTCTCAGTTAAAAGCTTGCTCTCAAATAACTCTTGATATAACTGCATTAAAACAATTTAAACACATGAATTATTGTTAAGTTTAACAACGAAATTGACTGTATGGAGGGGGGATGTTAACCTGCAACCTCCAGGTTTCTGTATTTGTGTTCTACAACTGAGCTATCAGCCCTACCGATATGTAGTGGAGGGAGATGTGAACCTGCAACCTCCAGGTTTCTGTATTTGTGTTCTACAACTGAGCTATCCAGCCCTATGTAGTGGAGGAAGATGTGAACCTGCAACCTCCAGGTTTCTGTATTTGTGTTCTACAACTGAGCTATCAGCCCTATGTAGTGGAGGGAGATGTGAACCTGCAACCTCCAGGTTTCTGTATTTGTGTTCTACAACTGAGCTATCAGCCCTATGTAGTGGAGGGAGATGTGAACCTGCAACCTCCAGGTTTCTGTATTTGTGTTCTACAACTGAGCTATCATCCCTATGTTGTGGAGGAAGATGTGAACCTGCATCTCCAGGTTTCTGTATTTGTGTTCTTCAACTGAGCTATCAGCCCTATGTAGTGGAGGGAGATGTGAACCTGCAACCTCCAGGTTTCTGTATTTGTGTTCTACAACCGAGCTTTCCAGCCCCATGCTGGGGGTTTTCGTAATTCATTGACAATATCAATGTTCAAGGAAGCTAGTCAATTTCCCGTTGTAGTTTATGTGATTGTTGTCTTTCCACATAGATGGGAAAAAGCCTTTGTTTTTCTTGTTGTTTTTTCCTTCTTCCTGTTGTTCTTCTATCTCAAATCCAATAGACTCTGTAAAAAAAAAAAATTCTGGAAGCACTTTTGACATAAAACAGTCATATTCCAATGAAACTTAAGTTCACACAAACAAAGACTCCATAGTGAAGTCATGTCTCAAAGAGTGATATCATGATGACATCATCAAATGTCATGTCACGTCATCCCAAATCCAAGTCATCCTAAGGGTGCATTTGTTAAAGTCTTTTATCAAGGTTACTATTAGTTCAATTGGGTTGAAACTTGGGATGTTCATAGACATCGATGTTATAGATAAAAAGTGAAGTGATGTCATCCTGTGATTTTTCAATTTTTTTTAAACCATTAAGCATTACATGTATATCACCAAAAGAACATGCTCAATTCCAGTTAACAGGTTCGTTAGGTCATAGATATTTGCGCAAGAATGTGACAAATGCGTGATATCATGATAACATCATCAAAATATTCCTACTAGGGCTAAATATTCCTACTGAGGTTAAGACAACTTGCTGTGAACAGTGAGCCATTACCAAGCATCTGTGTGCCACCTCGCGAAGCAGCCAATATCCCGTCTGACTTTGCCAACCGCAGTGACCCCTCCTGCTAAATCTGTGCCTTTGTGAAGCACGAGGAAGAGTCTGTCATTGTATGCACATCAGTAGAAAATGTGATCGGTAACACCAAGCTTCCTATCACAAGCAGAGAAACTTGGTCAGAAATCCAGTACTCTGAACGCCCAGACTGCACATCCACGCCCACCTCGTGCAGGGAACCTGCCCATCCAAAAAACTTACCAACATCAAAGATATCAAGCATTCCAAGTGGCCATTGGCAAGGACGGCTTGCTGATAGTCTGCCTTGACCAGCCCCTCTCACCAACTCGCAAAAGCATCATTGTTCCCTGCCAAGTGCTCTTTGGTCTCCTCACGGCACTCCATATCCAACTTAACCATCCAACTCATCACCAACTCCTCACCAACTCCTCACCGTGGTCAACAGGTCATTCTACGCTCTTGACATGGACAAAGCCATTGGCCAGGTAACATCCAGTTGTTACCACTGCGTTTCACTGCGCACAACCCGGCACACAATGATCAAGCAGTCAAGCGGGGGCTCAGCCGGTGCAGTGGCAATTTTGAAGTAAGGCTCTAGCAAAGACCACATTAAAAAAATCTGACCCTGGTTCCATGGTTCAATAAATTTACAAAAGGCAAAACCAATTCTGTGTGCACTCTGGAAAATGAGCCACCTCAATGAAAATGGCATAACTCCTGACCACAGCCAATAATTTAAAAAATTCAAAATTCCTGTAAAAGAAAAGGTTAATAACTATTCGTATGAAACACTCAATTTTTTTCTCAATATACTCTATTTGCCACCACAAAATATGGTGACCTTGGGTCCAGATCACTGCATGCTAGACCACATCATGCATTTCATACAGCAGTACAAGACACAACCATTCAAGCAAAAAGCGGAGGTCCTAAACAATTTTGTGTTGCTTGCCTTAACAACGATACTACTTCTGAATTAATTGATGCCTCTGATGCTACAAATACAAAGAAACAAATTAAATTTGCTGTATGCCGACTAGAATCTTATGCAAAGTATGCTGGCACTTCTGTGGAAGAAGTACATGTAGCTTACGGAATTTCGAGGAGCATTATCAGGCACGCAACTGGGAATTTAGAAAAAACAAGGACATTCTAAACCACACAAGACTTTGTACAGTGTTTTTTCAATTTGTAATGGCATTCCTGAGAAATAAAAACGAGGAAGGCGGATCCGAGGAAAAGTTGCATGCCTGATTATATACAAAGAAGTCACATGCAAGCAATCCGTTATGGTCTTCATTGCCACTCTCTCTTGACAAAGGATTTGGACATAACCAAAAACGATACTTGTAAAGAGAGCAACAGGGTCTAGAACGCCACAATAAGGGAGCGTCTCATAAGTCGGGAACGTTCGCGGTCCAATGGAACATTACGTAGGAACGTCAGGCGTTCCAAGGGGAACGTGCCGTGTTCCCGATGGAACGCGGGTGCGTTCCACGGCTTGAAAGGAACGCACCGAGCTGCGGTCCAGCTAGAACGGGGAGGGAACACCGTGTTCCCGGCAGAACGCTGCACGGATGGGTATTCGCTCTCGGGTATACGTGAGTACATCCGTGCAGCAGGACCTGGAGTCAGAGTTTAGTTTCAAACGTGGAATTTGTCTGACAAAAAGTACATCGTCAATAGTAAGCTCTGCTTTTATCTTTTTCTATTTTTATTTCGTAAAAGTATCGCATAGTACCATGACAAAACATACAGGCCCTCTCGTTCATTTTATCAGCGGGGCCGTTTTCGAGATGAAGGCTATATTGTTTGGAAATGATTTGTTTATAATTCAAAATCCTTCACTCTTTCTACGCTGTTTTGTCGGGTGATTTTAGTAAACCTATTACGTACTAGTGTCAAAGACACTTTTTGTTCCTGCATGCATACTACAAACATGCGCCCTGTATTAATTATAAACGTGAATACACAATCACCGTAGCGATGTAAAAGTTCAAGGTGAAATTTCACCAGAGAACTTCACATTTTCCGTAACAACAGCCACTGTGTTTCGTAATCAATTATATTTAACAGAAATTCACTTAACATATTTCGAAATCCCCATACCCCTTCTCTATCTACGATTTTTGGGGGGAGATTTCCCTTAATCTAGTACGCATTATCAGAGTATTATTAAACAAAATATTGTTCTTGCAAAAGTATACTTTGACGTGAATACACACTCACCACAGCGTAGCGATTGCAAGTGATGTGAGGTTCGGGGCTACCGACATTTCACCACAGAAACGATATTTACATCATTAGATTTACCAAGATTCCATCCGCATTAACAATCACTCGTACCTTGTGTTGAACTATTTACCCAAACCATCACAGAAATTTCATAATCACGTCCAAATATTATATGTAAATCCTCAAAAACAGGCAAAACCTACCGTTCAGTGACGCACGGTTTGCCAGAGATCGCGACGCCATTTTTCCTGAAACTGGGCCATCGTATACACGCTATGCTAGGAACGCTCTGCTGGAACGCGCAATAGAACGCGTGTTCCTGACCGTTCCGCTGGGATTTTGCCGTTCCAACGGAACTGTCCCGTGTTCCCAATGGAACGCCGGAGCATTCCAGTTCAGGAACACGCCGTTCCAATGAGAACTTTCCGAGCGTTCCAACTTATGAGACGCTCCCTAAGCTTTAGCAAGGGGAAAAGGCTGTGCTCGATTCAAGGAAGCAGTATCTTGGAGAAGATATGGCAAAGATCTTAGATTCACTGGACATCAGAACACCTGACATCCTTCAGAACAAGGTATTTGTTGATATCCTGATTTATTTTGCAAATAGAGGCAGAGAAAATATCTGCAATATGAAGGCTTCTGACTTTGTTCTTGATGGTGATGAACAAGACCTCTGTTACATTGTTCATCGTGATACATTGACTAAATCCAGATGCGAAAATGAAGATGAAGGCTTCAGCAGCCGTATGTATGAGATACTCGGGTCTACCGGTAGTATGTGTCCAGTCACAAAATTAATTTTCTGGCCCTACAAAGGGGTCCTCAAGCCCATGCACCCTCGGATGGAACGCCGTGGTACACAAATGCACCATTAGGAGTTAATACAGCCATTCCATGTAAGGGTCATACCAAACTCAAACATTGAAGTGAAAGGAATAAATTTTTGTCAGTTATATTTGATAAGAGGAATATTGAAACCATCTAAATCTCAAAAGATTTTTTTAAATAAATCATTTGAATTAAAATTTCAGCCTCCTGAACATGGATGAATTTTGTGGGCGAAACGGAGGGTCAGGGGTATAAATCACAAACTGAGGAAGTAATTGAAGCTCATTCATAAGATTGTGCTTTATCTGCATACATTTGGTAGCTATTCCAGTCTATTTGATAAAACATTGAGAATTTTTCAAAATGTCTTCAGTATTTTTCCACTATTTCATCGTGAAAACACCCTCAAAAATATGTCACGCGAGTCACAAAAAAAGATTACTTAATAACTAGAGAGGGATTCAGCTAGTGTTTGATATTTGTAAATGAAATAGTGGTGGTCTAGCAATAAAAGTATGAATATTCTTATTTGCTCTACATTCCTTGTAGAAAAAACTATCTCAAGAATGTCACGCGAGTCACACATGATGTATGTCACGCGAGTCACCAGGGGTGGATCCAGGAAATTTCGCAGGGGGGGGGGTTCATCAGCCAAA